TAGACCCCTGGTCGGTGCCCAGCATGTTTTCCGAAACCATTTGTGTACATACGAAACTTGTTGAAGGTGCATTCAATAGGCTTTGCCATGTGTTTGTAGGACTTGGGCTTGTCTCGACCCCGACGTGTGAAGAAACTATGTGAGTGGTATTTTTAATAAAGCTATGTTACACTTGCTTTTGTAAATCTCGTCTTGCCTTGTTTTGAAAAGTACTTGATCTAGCATGAATGACTATCCCTACTTGTATATTAAACACTATCTTGTTTGATGAAATTTCTTGAAAGTCCTTAGCTGCAGGGACTATAATGCAACTGCACTCTTGTCTTGAAAGTCCTTAGCTGCAGGGGACTATAATGCAACTGCACTCTTGTCTTGAAAGTCCTTAGCTGCAGGGACTATAATGCAACTGCACTCTTGTCTTGAAAGTCCTTAGCTGCAGGGGACTATAATGCAACTGCACTCTTGTCTTGAAATTGTCATCACCTTCTTGTATTAAGTAGATGTAATAACATCCAAAGAACTTGAAAAGCCGGCAATGAACTTGATTTTCCCCTTGACTGTAAAGTATGCTATGTATTGTTTTGAAAGAAATCTTGGATATCAATCATGCAAAACCTTTATTTCTAATATTATTCACTGAGTATCCAAGCTCACCCTCTATATATATATGTAGGTGATGAACAAGAAGGCATTGAGGCCTAGACGTGATTGCCGATGTGTTTTGGGTGCATTGCCGACATGTTTTGGATTAGCATTTTTGCACCATCTTGAAGATCATTGCTTCTCGGCTTATTTTTCATTTGTACTTGTATATGTCGGCTTGAGAGCCTTTTGGTCAAGATGTGTTTTGTATCTCATTTCCTTATTGTATTTAAGTTGTAAGACTTTATAAGGATGTATGTCATTTCATCGGACTTATGCACGGCTCTCATGGACTATTTAGATTCTGTATATGTATATATATTGCTTCCGCACTTGTAGCCCCATATTTATACTCTGATTGTGTGTGATTTTGAAAGTTGGCCTTCGGTAATTACGGATTACTGGCCATCACGGCACCAAACTACTAATGCACCGGCTCCATAAGAACTACGCATTTAAACGTGCTTGGGCGAGAGTAGTACTAGGATGGCTGACCTCCTGGGAGGTCGTCGTGTTGCACCACTTTTGCCCCCTTTTTTTTCCTTTTTTTATTTTCACCCTTCCCCGGACAACCTGTCTGGTTTTTAGCCATTCAATCGCCTTCGCCTCCTTTTCGACAAATTTCTGCCTTTTTAAACCATTTCCCGATTATCCTATTCCATTCAATTTCATTTTTTTTCCCGTCTACTGCTTAAAACAATAAAGTCGCGATTAATCTTCGGGTGCGATCATACCAGCGCTAATGGATCGGATCCCATCAGAACTACGTAGTTAAGCGTGCTTGGGTGAGAGTAGTAGTAGGATGGGTGACCCCCTGGGACGTCCCCGTGTTGCACCCCGTTTGCCTCATTCTTTACCTTCTTTTTTTTTCACCCTTCCCTGGACAACCTGTCCGGTTTTTAGCCCATTCAATCGCCTCGCCTCCTTTTCGACAAATTTCCCCCTTTTAAACCATTTCCGATTATCCTATTCCATTCAATTTCATTTTTTTTTCCCGTCTACGGCTTAAAACAATAAAGTCGCGGTTAATCTTCAGGTGCGATCATAGCAGCACTTGATTGATTCGGGTTCTACGCATTCATTTGTGTCCACTATATTCGCCGAGAAGTTGAGTAGAGAATTAGAACCCCTTGATTATGTATTATCTGTGTCTACTCCATCTGAGAGAAATATGATTGTTACTCTTGGATATCAATCATGCAAAACCTTTATTTCTAGTATCATTCACTGAGTATCCAAGCTCACCCTCTCTATATATATGTAGGTGATGAACAAGAAGGCATTGAGGCCTAGACGTGATTGCCGATGTGTTTTGGGTGCATTGCCGACATGTTTTGGATTAGCATTTTTGTACCATCTTGAAGATCATGCTTCTTGGCTTATTTTTCATTTGTACTTGTATATGTCGGCTTGAGAAGCCTTTTGGTCAAGATGTGTTTTGTATCTCATTTCCTTATTGTATTTAAGTTGTAAGACTTTATAAGG